CCACAGCCGCCCCGGCCAGCCCAGCCTGCGCCGCGCGGTGCCGGAGGGGCGCTGGGTCCCCCCTCGCTGCCTGGGGAAGGAATCGCCGGGGAATCGCGACAGGCGGGATTTGTCGGGAGTGGAGGCGCTTGGTGGCTTTAGGGAGTCGCGTCCGGCTGTCCTTGTGAGGCCCAGCTGTGGGATGAGGGCTCTGAGGGGAGACTGACCCTGCGTGGGGGTAACCTGAGAATAGTCGCATTTAATTGCTCAAAATCGTCTCCAGACCGATAATAGTGATTTTTAGGCCCAACCAGTGCTTGTCCAGCAGAGCAAAAGGCCTCGGGATGCATTTCCACTGAGAGTCGGTGATCTTGGTGTTTCCATCCACATTCTGAGTGTAGACGTTGACGTGACTGTGCTTTAAGGTGCAATTCTATTAATTCTGGCCATGATCCCGCTATTTCCACCCTGGCCTGGCGTGCAGGAGTTCATGTGACTGCATTTCAGCCTTGCACTTCTGCTAAATTTTGTCTGTGATCTTGATTTTCCCATCCACATCCTGAATGCAGACAGTTCATGTGCTTGTCCTTTAATCCTTGGTTTTATGGAGGGAAGTACATTTGGGAGAGGCTTGGAACAGAACAAGTAACAGTATTTCTTTAGAGAAATAAATGAATTATATTCTTACAGCACCAACAGTTATTCCCTTGCTGCTGTTGCAGTGAGTTTTGGTGGGAGCTGTGCGAAATCACCCTGGTTTTGTGTTCAGCAGCAAAATTGGTCTTTTCTCTTGTTTCTTGGTCAGGATCCAAATGGATTTTGTTCCTTCTAATAGCCCTGATAACTCTGAAGGGACAGGGATTTTGGAGCACAGTTTCAGGGGTTTGTTTTTATTCACAGCCTCCGCTCTTCTCTCCTCCCTCAGGTCGTGGCTGTGTATGGGACTCTCTCAGATTTGCTCTCTGTGGCCAGCAACAAGCTTGGGATAAAAGCCACCAGCGTCTACAATGGGAAAGGGGGGCTCATTGATGATATTGCTTTGATTAGGTGAGGATCAGCCAGGAAAAGGCAAAGCAAGGCTGTGGATTAAGAGACTAACCTGTTAATCCCCCTTAATCAATGCACAGTGCTTTTCCTAGAAACATTCCCAGCCAGGATGGCCAAAGGTCCTTTTGTGTCTTTTTAACTTCAAACCATTTATTGATTCAGAACTTGATACAAGCTGTGTTTGGGGCCTTTTTAGCTCCTCCAGGGCAATGTTTGTGCCATGAAATCCTCACTGTTCCAGTCAGTCCTGTAATGGGGGGGGGTGTGGGGTGTGTCTGTAAAGGAGACAAATTCTGTCACTGCTTTGGCTTCACAGAATAGTCCCAGACTGGGGAAAAAAGCAATTATTCTGTAAGGATTAATTGATTACACAAGTGGTCCCTACCTGGTACCTGGCTGCTGCAGATAAAATCTCTGGTGAAGTCAGTCCATTCCAATTCAGTAGAACCTGCAAAATACAGATAAAAATCAGATTCAGAATTTCCAGCTAATGGCCAGTGGTCATGATGTATCTGAAAGTAATCAGGAGAGGTTCCACTGTTGATTAGATGAACAGTAAGTTATGATTAACCTTCTTTTTCTCTTCCCTCTGCCCCCTCCTGTCTCAGGGATGATGATGTTTTGTTTGTCTGTGAAGGGGAGCCCTTCATTGGTGAGTCTGTAATTCTTATATTTAACTTTCTATTTAATAGAGTTGATTTTGCTTTCATCTAAACTTAAGATTTTAGTTTGTGGTGTTTTCAGAAGATACCTCTTTGTAATTAAAGAATATTCACAATTTTTCCTGTAATTACTTTGTTTCTTCTCTGCAGATCCTCAGACTGATGGGAGAGCTCAGGAGGAGCTGACAGGGTCCCACACAGACTGGCTGACTCTCAATGTGGGAGGCAGATATTTCACCACCACCCGGTAAAAATGGTCTTCAAAACCTTCATTTCAGTAAAGCAAAAGACCTTAAAAAGTAACTTCCTGTGAAGGTCTTTGACCCCTGCAGCTTTCTCTGTATTTTGTATTTGCCACCACAGTTTTGCAAGAAATTAATTCTTAAACATTTACAGATGAAGGAAAAGTAAAGCTGGGCTGCTTTCTTTTTCTAGGAGCACTTTGGTTAACAAAGAACCTGACAGTATGTTGGCACACATGTTCAAAGACAAAGGTGAGTATATTGAGATAAATGTTACTATTTTTACGTGATAAATGGGCAAAGTAGGCAAAAGTCACTGTCAAGCTGAGGCTCTTGTTCATAAAGTAAAATATCTAAAGTGTACTAAATTATCAGAGCAGAACAGAGAATTATTTTTAATAACTTTATTTCTCTCTGTTTGTCATGTCAGCACCTAATGTAATCCTCAC